CACCGAAGGCTCTGGCGGCAGAGAAGGGAGGACGCCGACCCGCAGCTCCAAGCACAGCAGCCCGCCCAGGAGACCACCACAGCATCGGGCGACGGGTGCTCTCCGCTGAGGCGGCCTGCCAAGCAGGCCTGCAGACGCTCGATGCTGTAGATCTCGCTGCCACGCTTCGCAAGCGCATCCTGACACTCCAAAGCGGGCCGGTGCAAGTACGCAGCACGCTGCGCACTGCCTTCCAAGGTGGGCTGCTCGTTGCGGATGACAGCTCCGCTGAGTCATCGTTGCGGGAAGCTCCTTTACCTCGCCGTCCGGTCGAAGCACGAGCTGCGAGGGCCACTGCATTCGTCCGCCTGGACCTCTCGGGCATTACTTTGTGGACGCTGTCTGATGGTGGCAGCCCGATGAAAAGCGGAGTAGGCTTGCCCGTGCGCGCGTGAGACGCAAAGTCATGGAGACGAACAGCTGCCTGCTGGGAGCGCTTTCGGTCCCGGCATCGCCAACTGAGTGGGAGCGAGGAAGTGCATGACTCAGCTGGTGCCACTCAGTATGACCCTGCTGGTAATTCGTGTGGTGGGCGCGCTCGCCCCTTTTTATAATTTGGTAGGCCGACCCGTGCTCCAGCTTCGCGGCAGAGAGGGATGGAAGGCTCCAATTTCCTTTTCTCCCCAACGCACCTCTTTTCCCGCAGGACTGGTCTCGGCGGCTACTACCTTTACCTACACCCGCGGACGTTCAGTGGCGGGGGGCCGGCAGGCGGCTGACCGCGACGACCTCAGTGTCGCGGGCCTGCGCCAGCAAGTCGCCCAGCGGAGGCGGGTCCCCGTCGCCCTGCTCCTGCTCCACACTCGCCATCGGCAGCTCTAAGAGCGATTGCGCATACGCACGCTGCGCCGCCACGGCCAGCATACCTGTCCATCGATGGATGCTGGCCCGGCGGACGGCCGGTCGTAGGCGTGCGGGCGCAGTTCGCGCTTTAGCCGAGGCAAGGCTGCGCAGAAACGCGACGGTTTCCGCCTCCATTCGCCTGCCGACCTCAAGTCCGAAGACGACCAGCGGCGGGCGGCCAAGAGCTCAGGATATGTCTCTCGCCGCTTCCGCCGCGCCGCATCAGCCGCCGTCAGGCCAGGCACTCGGTCCGTCCC